ACGTAAGCAAGTTTCCATCACTCATATCTGTCTTTTGATCTCTTCTTGTGTTCTAAGGCTCAATGGCTGGCCTTAGGCTAATATCGAGCTACCTCCCAAACAAGGATATAAAATTAATTATATTTATATTATATTTTAATAAATAAATTAAATAATATTAAAAAATATATTAAACTGAAAAAATTACCAATATTTTTGCATGTCAATGAAACCAATTGCAGGATAAAAATATAGTTGTCATATCTGTCTCACATCTTTAATGCTTTTATCAGTTTCCTTCATTGCTATCACTTCATTTCAATCAGGCAATACCCCTAAACTCGCCCTCAAATAGGAGGGTAAGTACGGTTTTGCTCTTAAAAAAAAATAAAAATAAATTGTTTTATTAAATTATTAATGAAAATAAATTATTTATTATTTAACGTATAATATCATCAAATATTAAAAATTTATTTATCATCTAATCATGATTTTATCAAAAAGTTGACGTAAGATGATGTCATATATTTAATAATAAATAATTTATTTTCATTAATAATTTTAAAAAATAATTTATCATTTTTTTAGATACAAATATATTCTTACCCTTTTATGTGAGCGGTGGATTTAGGAGTTTGGCTTTTCAATTACAGAAACTACATATTTTGCCTTTTTTGCTTTTGCGCGTATATGTTCAGATTGATTCAATATAATCTTTCATTAACAAATTTCATAGATCAGAACCAATTTTTACACAACTGGCCATAAACATGCCTCAAAATCAATTCAAAGATTCAATTGTCATTGAAATGGAACATAAGATTTCTCAATTTCACATTAAGTTCATGTCCAGACTTAAACTAGCTAAGTAATTGGCCGACTAACCTCAAGCTAGTTTAACCTTAACCAAAGCTGCTGCTATTGGTGCATGTCGTTAAACTCATTCCAGAACTTATAATCAATACTCAAGCTACGCAGGACTTGGGAACCCTCTTGAGTTCTTCAAACTCTAAAGCATTATGCTGCTGTGCATAACTCACAGTCCCCTTTTTTCCTTTTCTTGTCTGATGACAGAGAAGGAAACATCTAAATGAGCTTAGTTCTCTACGAACTCTACTCGTAGTGCAAACAACTCTTTGTGGAGTTTAGGGTGTGTTTGGAATTACAAAATAGGGCTATTTTCAATCATCATTTTCATTAGAAAATGAAAAACAAGTAGAAAGCTTCTTTAGCATTTGAAAATAAAAATTATTTTCCGGGAAAAAAGGGGAAATTAATATTGAAAAACAGAAAACAACCAAAAGTTATTTTCTAAAATAAGAAAACACAGAAGTCCTTAAGTAAAAGGTTTTAATCCCTTAACTTTTAAATTTACATCAAAATTATTCTTAAAGTTAAAGAAGTATTAATATTATCATTAAACTTTAATTTTTTATGCTAAAATAGTCTTTCTATTAACGAAATGCCATGGGACTTGCTATTTTGCCACAAAATCAGTTTTTTTTTTTAAAATATAAATGACATGTGAAATTAAACAATCATATTTCACTATTGTGGTATATTTTTAGTTATATAGCAGATTGATATGTAATTAAAATTGAATGATTAAATTGGTACTTATAATAAAAGTTTAAGATCTAAGTTAGTACTTGTTTTCAAAGTTCAAGAACTAAGTTGTATTGAATTAAAGTTCAAGGATTATTTTGGCATTAAAAACTAAAATTTAGGGACAATTTTAGTATTTTTTTAAGTTTAAGGATAATTTTGGAATAAATCTAAAAGTTGAAGTACCAAATTGATATTTTAACTTAAGTAAAATAGGGAAAAAAAAGTGCCCACACAAGGGATTTATAAAAAAAAATTTACCACCTATGTAAGCTAGCTCCTCCAATTTCAAGTGAAATATTAGATCTAAAATTGGAAATCTGCTTAAACGACCCACAATTTTAATTTAATAGAAGACGAGATGGATAGGTTGTTTGTAAGTGGAGAAGCGTTTGATGCATTAAGTAGCAAAGAAAGGCATGCAAGTTTCAGTGGAAAGCTAACTGCATTAGATTCCAAAAAGGTAGCTCGAATGGCATAAGTTAGGAATGAGATTGCTACAACATTGTGGAATCATTGTAGATAGAATAAGTGCTAATGGGAATTATTTTGAATAGTTTTATATTTATTTTCTTTTTCTTTTAAAAAAATTTTTAATTTAAATTTATGGTAAAAAATAGTTTATTAAAAGAAATCCTTATTTTAAGTTTCAATAGTTAATTGCAACAAAAAAATGTTAAGAGTGAACTTTAAAATTTATAAAAGTTAAAGGGTTCAATATTATATGAATATTTTATCTTAAAGCAGAAATCATTTCTATTTGCCGTCGTTTTTTTTTTTTTTTATGAAAATGAGAAGGAAAAGGGAAAGAAAAAATAAGAAAGTTTTCTCTTGTCAAAGGCAGATGTGTACATTTTTACTATTAACAATGTACTAAGGACTGTCTGGTTAGAGAGTTATTTTAATAGAAAAGTTTTATTAAGAAATTAATTAAAAAAATATTGTATAAAAAGTTGATAAGTTTTATAATAAAATTTTATTAGAATTCTATTGAGTTGTTAATTTTTTTTTTGTTTGATAAAAAATTAATATAAGAAAAATTAGTAGGAAAATTGACACGTGGGTCTTATATAAAGAAAGTTGGAGAAAATTTTTTTAAAAAAAATATGAAAAGAAAAGTTTAGTAGATGAGAATTGTATTAAGAAAAATAAAATTTAAAAATATCACATTTACTCTGATTTTATTACAATATTAATATGTAAAAATATGAAAATAATTTTATAAAGAAAACAATTAGAGAACTTTATGGAAAAGTTTCTCCCACTAAAAACACCCTAAATTAATGTTAGGCCACTTAAGTTTAAGGGAATCTCCATTTAAGGACACAAATATTTGTAAAGACTTATAATTAAGGACATATGTTTGTAGAAACTTATGATTACAAACATATTTCTTAAGGAATTTCCTTAAGAAATATTTTAGTGTAATTCTAATTGCAAAATTAAACAAAAGAACGTTATTGAGATATTTCAAAGCTCTAGGATGCAATTGGCCTCCAGAGAAGATTTAAGATGTGATTGAAATCTCAATATAAGGGCATGTTTAATTAAGGGACCTGTTGTACTTATGATTTTGATGAGTACAAAACACATTTGAGTGATTAAATTGTTCATTTAAGTCTGTAGTTAAACTTTTAAAAGATTGCAAAAGTAAATGAACTTGGACTGCACTAAAAAGGACCAAAAAGGCTGAAAAATGTGTAGAGAGCCAGCTCTAGTAATATGTAGCTGGCTTTGGTGAAGGCAAGTGCAGAGAGTTGGCTCTAAAAACTACAGCCAGCTCTACGGGACAAAAATTCAAGCATTTGTTTTGGTGCGTGTGGAAAACGAATACAAAGCCAGTTTTAACTTTGCAGCCGATTGTGATGATGCATTTAATGCACAACGGTCAAGTTATTTGAAGATTATTTAATGTTTTTAAAGTTGAAATCCCAAAGGTGACTTTATATTTTGTAGTTGGCTGTGCAAAAAAACAGAATGTGTAGAAAACCCGCAAAGTCAGTTGAGGATTCTAAGCCAATTGTACAAAGCTGGCTCTAGACTTTAAGCCGGCTGTAATGACAAATCTGCAACTCCAAATTATGCGACCTACAGAGCATTTAATGACCCCCAACAGCTAGAAATGATTATTTTCGATCAAGGGGCTATAAATATGGTTGATAGCAGAACTGGAATTAGTTTTAGAGCATTACATTGAATATCTCTACCTACCAACTTGTGCTTTAACTTGAGTTTTTTTATCTTTGAATGATCTTTGCTTATAATCCTTTTTTTGTTCTACTCGTGTGTTATCTTAGAGGTGTGATTATTCCTTCAAGAGTGATTTGTAGAAAAGATTATTGAGGTTTATCTTATAAAAGGGTGAGATTTGAGAAAAACACCTTTTTTCTTGTAAAATGATTTAATGGCTCCTTTAAGCCACCCTTGTTTTTCTTAGTGAAGAGTATGGAGGAAATCCTTGGTAAGTGAAGTTAAAGTAGAAGACTAGACTTTAAGTGATTGGACCGAACATCTATAAAATCATTGTGCAAACTCTTCTTCCTTGCTCTTTCTTTAATTTTTATTTGGTGGTTGCAAAGAGGTGCAAATTTCCAACTCTAATTCACCTCCCCTCTTCTCTTGGAGTGCATTGAGCCAATAGGTCCAACTTTACAAGGAAAATTATTGTGGGGAAAGTAGTTAGTAATGTATTGTACAAAAGGTTGATAAGTTTTGTAATAAAGTTTTGTTAAAATTTTGTTGAGTTATTAACTTTTCTATATTTAGTAAAAAATTAATATAACAAAAGTTGATAGAAAAGTTGTATGATAGATTTTATATAAAAGAATTAGAAGAACCTTTTTTCTTTTAAAAAGGGTGAAAATAAAAGTTTATAAGTTGAGAATTATGTTGAGAAAATAAATGTTAAAAATATGATTTTTACCCTTATTTTATTGTAGTGTTAATATGTAAAAATATATAAATAACTTTATTAAGAAAAAAGTTTAAAAGAATTTTGGGTGAAAAGTTTCCAACGAAACATGTAAAGTTAGGGATAAAATGGACTTTTTACTATCTTCGAATTTGGAATCTCTGTTTCTCGAAACAAAGCAACAACGTTTTAGCCGGCCAGTACCATTATTATTATTATTATTGTTTGATATTAAATCTCAATATTCAAAATTACATTAACCTCTCAATTAATCTAATGTTAAGCTACATCAGACTGGTAAAATAAATTATCTTAACACTTCTTTCTACTTTTACAAGCTTATTTTTTAAAGAAAAATAATTTTTTATTATTTTGATATAATTTTATGTATTATTTAAATAATTTATTTATTTATAATTTATAATATTAAATATATATATTTATTTAATAATATATAAAAATTATAAAAAAATTATCTCTCCACCACTGCACTTTTTCAAACCCTTCCTTATTTATTTTAAGATTTTAAGTTGATATTTTTGTCTCAGAGATTCGAGTGGTTAAGACTAGCGTCCTATTGGCATTATAATACCTTAATATAGCAAAATATGTAAATTAGTCCCTCAACTCGTTGACTAGTGGCAAATCAGCTCCTCATCTCAATTCACACGCAAATTAATCCCTTAACTCGTTTGTGGTGGCAAACCAACCCCTCTGTTTAGCCTAACATCATCAATCCATGAAGTTTTAATGTTTTGCTCATCAACCCTTCCTTTGCGTTTGAGCTAGATTGTTTTTGTTGAGATTGACACTTTGTTGAACTCCTTTTTCATGGACTTATCGGAGAAAATTCTTGACAGGATAAAATGGTGGATGGTTTTCAAATTCCTAAAGCACGAGAAATTAAGGATTTTTCTAGGGTTAACAAAAAGATTACAAGTCCATTACCAACATAATACTAGAGGAAGAAGACGTTGAAGCATTTTCTTGTTAAATTATATAGAAACTTACTTAGCAAAAGAAATGTTGAAATGTTTTCCTGGTTACTATTGCCAAATAGAGCAAAGGTCGTTGCTAGGACAATACTCCATTACCAAACAAAAGTAATGGGAAGCTTCAAACTCTGCATATAGAGTTGGAGAAAACTTAATGAATTGATGATGTTAGGCTAAATAGAGGAGTTGATTTGCCACTATAGACGAGTTGAGGGTTTAGTTTGTGCGTGAATTGAGATGAGGGGTTGATTTGCCACTAGTCAATGAGTTGAGGGACTAATATCCATGTTTTGCCTTATAATACTCCAAATTGAGTATCTTTAGATGAAAGTGAAATTACAATTATCACCACAAGATCGGATATCAAGAGGTGGACTACAAAATGCTGTCACTGCCACTCCTCCGATCACTCTCCAGCCGTTACTCTCCATATCAAGCTTTTTCTCCTATTCTCTTCGCCATCCGCCGCTCCATGGCCACCGCAGCTGCCGCCGAGGTTGTCAGTCCATCCACCACCCGTCTAGGATGGATTGGTACCGGCGTCATGGGCAGTTCAATGTGCGCTCATTTGATCAAAGCCGGCTACACCGTCACCGTCTTCAACCGCACCCTCTCCAAGGCCCAGCCCCTTGTCGACATGGGCGCTCGCCTCGCCAACTCCCCCCGCGAACTCGCTTCACAGTCTAACATCGTCTTCTCCATCGTCGGTTTCCCCTCCGATGTCCGCCAAGTCCTTCTAGATCCTGAGCACGGGGCTCTGTCTGGTCTCCGTCCTGGTGGAGTCCTCGTCGACATGACCACCTCGGAACCCTCCCTCGCCTGCGATATCTCTGCCGCTGCCTCTGCCAACAACTGCGCTTCAATCGACGCACCAGTCTCTGGTGGTGACCGCGGCGCCAAGAACGGCACCCTGGCGATATTCGCCGGCGGTGATGAGGCTGTTGTCAACCGTTTAAACCCCGTTTTTTCTCTCATGGGGAAAGTTAATTATATGGGTCCAAGTGGGAAGGGCCAATTCGCCAAATTAGCGAATCAAATCACTATAGCTTCGACGATGGTAGGATTAGTGGAGGGAATCATCTATGCATACAAAGCAGGGCTGAACGTGGCTTCGTTTTTAGAGGCCATATCTACTGGAGCAGCTGGTTCTAAATCTTTGGACTTGTATGGAAGCAGGATATTGAAGAGGGATTTTGAACCAGGGTTTTTTGTCAACCATTTCGTTAAGGATTTGGGGATTTGTTTGAAGGAGTGTCAAAGCATGGGGCTTGCGTTGCCTGGTTTGGCTCTGGCTCAACAGCTTTATTTGTCACTTAAGGCTCATGGGGAAGGCAATTTGGGGACTCAAGCTCTCATTTTGGCTCTGGAGAGGCTCAACAATGTCACTCTTCCTGCTATCTAGCCTGGTAAATTCCTGAGCATATACCAAAGCTGTGTTGTGTTTTATCCTTGCATCCTTTTGGGACTTATAGAATTGTCACATTCTGTTGTAATAAATGGAGTCAATGTGGCTTTTGAGACTTACAGTTGCTCATATTTATGGCCTTAGAGAATAATATTCCTCTTCAATCCTTTTGCTGCATTTAGGAACTTCTATTTTAAATTAAGCAATCATGTTTTGTCTAGAGTGATAGCTTGGGGTTCTCGATATATGGAATTCCTGTTTGTTGCTGGTAACTCATGATGCGATATCTGTTGAAAGGCTTGAGATGATAGATCTTTAACTAGGCTCATTTTGTTCATTGTGATTTATTGTGAGTCCGCCTCACCATTAACGATCTTATTGATTGATCAAAATTGATTTTTCTAATTGAAAAAACTTAGAAAGCTAAATGCACATACTGTTTGATCAACTAACTATCCCATGGTTTCAAATTGTTGAACAACTAAAGACTTTGGTTTTGGTTAAAGTTAACAGTATTGATAATCAACCAAACAAGTTCCAAGTGAGTGTCTTGTACATAATTTAATGAGGGTAGGGAATATGAGTAAGAATAGGTTGTATTGTTATTATATATAAAGTTAAGAGACTCTCTGAGAAATTTCGGAATTAGGTTAAATGAAGACTACCATTGTTGCTTCTTTGTTTCTAGTTTAGTGGACTCTTCCCTTTCTTTTTTTGCCCCTTTAAACCCAAGAATTAATTCTTAATTTTAAAGTATATGGGATTAAGTTGTAGATGCATTGGTAAAATGAGTTTGAGCACTAACTCTATAAAGATTTTTTTCTCTCTGTGACTCTTGATTGTTCTCACTCCTTAGACAGGTGCCTCACTTCCTCTGTTAGAGGGTCGGTCACTGAGTATCTCCATGAAAAAGGATTCCCCAAATATGCATAGTTGTAGTTCTAGCATTTGTTTGGGTAAAACCTTGATAGGTATGCATCAGTCTTGCTGTTTGCTTAGATATACCTTCACTAGCTTTAGTGAACTGAGTAGAAGCCGATCTTTGGATTGCCTGAAAAATGCTTGAGTCCCTAACAGATATCTACCCAGAGTCTGTCTCTTGAATGTTAAGTCATGATGGATCATGGTTGAAATGGAACTGCTTAAAATTTATAACTATCTCTTAGCTTTTCAGTCAAGTGAAGACTTTTTAACTTGTTAAGCAATCGGCAACATGATTGCTGGTATATAAAACATGCAGGTTATATTTGATTCAAGAGAACTAGAGAGACAATTTCATAGCTATTGAATGAAATATAACTAAAATAAATAAGAAAGTGGTAAAATAAATATGTTTGTTCCATGATCACTGCCTTTTTTCTGGCACTAGTGGGAGCGTTTCTGGTCCATGTGGGAACGTTTCAGGTCCTTGCATCTTATGTTTTCTTATTATTTTTGTTCGAGTAGAATCAGGGCGTTCGTTATAACGTGTATATATATATATATATATATATATGCAATTATATTAGTTGATTCTTAAAATAGCCCATTGCTGTTGGAAAGTCAAATAATTGGCTAAACTGAAAATATCTGAGTAAAAGTGCAATTTCAAGTCAAAATAAACAATTATAGGCAGCATAATGTGATATTATGTCATTTACCCCACAAGCTAACCTTTCAGAAATCCAAGGCTGGAAGGCATTTCCAGCCTTTTGGGGAAATGGAACCACCACCAGCAGTTAGACCTTCTATGAAGCCAGTTCTGGAAGTCTCACCCTGTCGTGGCCAAAAGAGTCTGGGAGTGAGTTTGATGCTCCTCCCTTGTTCGAGATGTGAAGCACGAGTGTATCTCTAGCATCAGGATGTTGCTAGGTCTGCTACCTGGAAAGCTTAGCTTGACGTGTACCCATGCTACCACCCGGAAGCAAGCTTACATGTAAGCTATATATTATTTACATGTTTATTTTCAGCAGAACATTTCTGCAAAAAGAAAAATCTCAAAAAAGAGTGCACATCCCCTGTTTTATTTTTCAAATGGATCATGAGAAAAGATTGGTATACCGTATACACCATTACCAGTACCAACAGTCCTCCAGCGTAAGTTAGGCTGAACGTAGCTTTTGGCTACTACTGTTCACTCTACGTGCACTCTTAATATAGTGCTCGCTTATACAATCCGGATAACCATAAATTATGGATTTTTGGGCATGAACTCTCTGGAATAGGAGATGCAAAGAAGGTCTACTGATTGGAAAAGCTGAAATATACAAAAATTGAAATACGACGTGATTCTTTTGTCTAACCATGGCAAACCACTTTTAGGATTCCTAAACCTCAAGGTACTGGGAGTCAAGCCCGATGTACTGGGAATGGGAGGCTGCAAGGAGGGCTGCTCCAATGCCAGAGCCATCGTTGGAGTGCTCAATGACAATATTCTCAGAGACTTCCTCTCCAAGTAGCTCCTTCAGGGTACTTTCCATGCACTCTCTGAATTTAGTGTAGTGCTCAAACAACCCGCCATCAAGAGCTACCACAGACTTCTGCTTTTCACTGTCTTTGATTGTATCTCTTCCTAATTTCTTGAGGATGCCCACAATTCCAGCTGCAGATAGGCGGGCACCACGAGTGGCAACAATTTCACAAAGTGCAACAATAACTTTTCTCATTTTCAGCGAACTATTGGATACCTGAAACATAATATTTAAGAGATAGCTGATCAAATATGAGCGGTGATTTAGCATTAGTTCTTTACACATGTAGTTTAGCATACATGATAAAGCAATATACTGAGAAGAACGTTTTCAAAAGTTAAAATTTTCTCGTCCTTGGCTCTCCTCCATCCCAGTTAAGGGCAAGACATAAAAATGAGTTAAGAAGAGAAAAATGGGTATGTTTCAAAGGCTTAAAGAAAAATCATACGTCATCAATGAGCCAATAGGAAGAGTATCATACCTCTAAAATGTCCTTTAGTTTGCTTCCAACCACTTTCAAATCTGGGGTCATGTCATGATGCATCGCAGACATGTCAGGAGTCCTGCAAATTACAGGAAAATTTTAACAGCTATCTTGGCTCTTAACATGCCAAAAATCAATGTGTAACATTTAATCTATCATGGAAATATACTGTATTGTGGACATGAAATTTAAGAGATTAGACTTTATCAAAACCAAAATAATAATACAGATTGGTTCCACTCCAGCAAGTAGCACACTACAACGAATTTCTCAAATCAAAATAAAAATCAGACTGAACACACAAAAGCAAGTAGCATGCTGCAATGAACCACTTAATATTTTCGAACATACTGGAATATGTATTAGCTTGGCGTTCAATTGGATTCAATGGTGATTGCTCCCACTGAACTCCATTCAAAGCTGATAATGGGTATTGATACATATTTTGGAACATAATGAAGCCAAAGATATGGACTTTTAGTACCAGAAAGTCAAATAGTTGCACAGTGCTGTGCTAATTAATTTTGCCCAATTAAACCTTACATTGTGATTTACATGGCCACAAAACTTTGATATCTTATACGGATTTGTGAAAAAAAGTTATAAAAGCAGATATAATCAAAGATCATGCTGAAAGAGACACAAATCAAATTTCATCTTTATCTTGAGGACTTAGAATGTTATCCCAAGACTCCTAACTCTTCAAGACACCATATGAAAGTTAGGCCTTCATCATTTCTATTCATATATAAAGAAAATTTAGAGTGAAAGGGAAGTCAGATATGGAGAGGTTCTTAGGAATTTAAAGAAAATTACAAGAAAGATCAAGGAAAGGAGTTCTTTATTTGATCTTTTGTCATTATTCTTTCTGCAATTTGTTGTGTTACTAAAATGTTCATTTCCTTCTTCTCTTCTCTTTGACTGGGGGTTTCTATAAAATTAATGTAATTAACAACCAAGTTATGCTTTATTTGGAGACTACTGTTAAGAGCTAGCGGTCAGACACCTATATCATTCTTAAATAGTAAGGCTGCATCCATGTTCAGCTATAAAATATATAAAGAAAAAAAGAAAAAGAAAAAGAAAAAACATTAAAATGTTTGAGTTGACAAGAATAAGGCACAAAGAATCCACAGATATAAGAACAAGTTTGATGGAATCAGTGTCTATTAAGGCATACCTCAGTATGAATGGAATTTTCAATTTTGGTGGAACAGTATCACCGAAAAAGGCAGCTTCTTCAGCCATCTTGCACAGAACTCTGCGCACAACCTCTCCCAAGTACATACCGGAAATCATCTTTTCAAAAATCTGAAGTAGTTCAAAATGTATATTGAGATTTGAGCCATTTGCATAAGCAACAAACAATAAGTTGGAATTGAAATTACCACCTAAACTTGAAGAAACTAACCTGCTCTCCGGGGTTTAGACTCTCAACGTCCAGTGCATTATCATATTCTGTTAGGGGGAGGTGTGATGATCGAAAGTTACCCCATTCCATATTGATAACCTGAAGGATTGGAAAACAAATGTCTTAGAGAGGTTGCCCATTACAATCACGAGTACATCTGTCAGTAAGCCTAAAATGGTGGATAATATGCTTGATCTAATAATGAACAGAAGTAGAGAAAATATGATAAATACTGCTTACCATTTCACCTGACTTAGGTAGAAGACCAGGCCATTTGGGAATTGCATTAGCACGCTCTACATAAGCTGCATTCGTGCCAGTGCCCAAGATTACAGCAGCAATGACATCTTTGTTATAGTATCTTCCACCAGCTAATGTACCAATTGTGTCATTGACCTGCATCATTCAGAAGATTAAAGAATATCAACTTTAAAAACATGAGCATGCATATCAAGGCCAAGCTCCAATCCAACAATAGAAGCTAAATATGGATTTACCAAGGCTGTAACACGCATATCAAGGCCAACCCTTTCGATGGCTTTTGTCAATTCTGCTACAACATCTTGTCCAACCTATATATTACCAACCAAGAGAAAACCATAAAAGAACAGCAAGGATCAGAAATAAACAGGGCCAGGAGTTATAACACATAGGTCATTCTAATATATAGAAAATCATTTAACAGGCTGAAAGGTAGAAATTAAGGTGATTTGGGATCAACCACTTCTTCTATAGAGAAGCCCTTTGTCCACTTAATAAGTGTCCCTGATGATATCGATGTTTGCCTGACAGGAAACGAGAAGGTAAATCCCAGCTCCCTTTGTCTACCAGGTGAAACATGCAAACCTTCACTTTCTGTATCAACAAACTTTTTAAGAGCTTCCGCAATATAATCAAACAATGCCTGAAATTATCATAATTTAGAGACCTTAAGAAAATTAACCAATCCAGACAGAATCAAGAATTGTTAGGATTGTAGATTGTATTGAGAAGTATCTCACATCTGAGCTCCCGATCATCAAATGTGGAGGAATTGACACTTCCACAAATTCCTGCTTAACAACACCATATTCTTTCCCACCCAACAGTACACGAAGAACACGGAAGTTTGTGCCACCAAGGTCCAAGGCATAAAACAGCCCCTTCTCATCACTGAAAAGTTAAAGAAAGTGAAAAGCACACTTAGCACACATTTCCTTCATCAGTGTAAAAATCTAAAATTTTGGAATTATTTCCCACAAAACAAGACAATTGAACAAACTGTAACCAATTATTTTTTACAAATCCACCATTTCTCATAAATTCTTTATTTCAAATATCAACATGGCAGTTTTTGAGACTCCTTCAATAATTATTGAGGTAATGATACAGACAAATTGCTTCATGAGTTCAAGTGTAAGTGTTAAGAAGTCCGTAATCCATTCATTGTCAACAAAGACAAGCAATCAATATTTAATCAAACTACCATTTTGACTAAAACTTGATAGCATGAATAATGAACAAAAAATTCCTCAAAATTATAAGGTGAAAGTCTAGGGATCTCAAGTATTGAGAAGAAAAAGGTCTCTGATAGATACGACATAACAGCCCACTGATAACAAATTGACCACTCTTTTCTTCCTATTATTATTATTATTACTTTTTTTTTTTTTTTTTGATATAGAAAAAATTGGCCATATCAATAAGCACAGATACAAACAAAGAGACTTGAAGAACCTTATCCCATCAATACATATGAGAAAAAATGCAGTTTATATGTCAAACAGTAAAGTGATGTACCATTTCAATATCCTTTCAAAGGCCACTACCTTTATTAAGAGCATATCCTTATCATGATAAACAGTAAGCATAAGCAGAATCATTAGAAAGAGAATTACATGATAAAAGCTATAGGAACAGTAGAAAGAAATACACCTCGAGTCAAGGAAAAGAAATAAGTTTAATAAGCGAAAAGAAATAACAAGCTTTAGGTGGTAAGGCATGCACCAAAAGATTACACAAGTCATCCAACAAAACCAAAGAGAGCAAAAAGTGGGGGATATTCGACTGACAATTGTAAAGATACTGGTAACAATTTTAATGAACACAAATAAAACTAGTAAACAGTCATAAAAAGAAAAGAATGAGATATGAGAAAAGTTAGGCAACACAAAAAGCAAATGCTAGACTTACCATATAAATGCATGAACATCATTAGTGGAGTCACCAATCATGTAAGCTAAGAATCCAAAACCATCTTTTGGTTACAGAAAGTTCAATGACCACCATCTAATTCTAATCAAAGTCACTTCTGTCTTGTTGCAATTTACCACAAAGTAACATCAAATTGTCTAGCTAGTTAAAACTTCGAGCTCAAACAAAAAAAAAAAAAAGTCATTTTTTTGGCCTGAAAAATGGAGATATTACTGGGAAAAAAATAACAAACCAAGCAGGAAGGAATTAAATATCAGAGAAGCTGATAGTCAGAGAAAGTTACAAACTTGAATCTTAATAAGAACTTTAAAATAGTGCAGGCAAAAAGAAACCATAAAGAACACAACTTTAGACCAAATTGTTTGCATAAACTTTATAAACAATGAAAATCCAAATGGGAAATCTAATAAATGATCTAAAAATCTCATGACCACAGTTCAAAGTATGAATTTATCAATCAAGATGCCATCATTATACTCAATAAAGAAATCTAAATGAAACTCTAAATCAACCTAGAGGTAAACCATTCTGGAAAGACAAATCCAACTTGATTGGAGATGGAATTTAACAGGAAAAATTCTTGATTTATTTAATTAATTCAATCTCAATTACCCAGTAGGTAGATTATCAACGTAGCTGATGATCATCTTGAGTTTGCTCCCACCCTCTGACGCGAGGCCAGCGTGCATCTCGACGGTCATGGCATCCGCCACCTGTCTGAGCTTGGAGATTGGCGTCCCACTCTTTTCCTCAAACTCCTTGAGTATTGTCATGGCCCGTGCCCACCTCCCGGAGCATTTCATCCTGTGCCGCACCATCAGCGCCGCAGCAGCACACACCGCCGCTGCGCACACCACCGCCGCACCAACCGCCACTTTTCCCATCACCACAGCCACTAGGAGTCCAAGGAGAGAAGTGAAGCTGTTGTTTCCTCCCTTCAAAGCTCTGTATTTTTCTTAAAAAAAATTAATTGAAAGAAAAAAATAATCCATTTTCAATCTGTAAATTTTTTTTTATATAAACAGGATTGAGACTCAGATCCAAAAAAGGTTAATAATGGAATTTCAGAGAATTTCGGGGCGAGTTTCTCGGAGGTTGATAACTTGTTCTTATCGGAAAAATAAAGTAGAACTGTAGAAGAAGAAAAGAAAGGAAATTGATTTTCTAAGAAAATATTTTTTATATAAATATTTGTTGGGATGAAAAATGTCAATAATATTCTGAGTAAGTTATTGTACACAGCAGTTTACTAGTTTCAAGTTGATATTATAAAAAAAAAAGTATTTTAGAAATTAGATTGTATATTAAAAATGTAATATAATTATAAAATATTTTTAATAAAATTATTTTTTTTATTTTAATTAATAATAATTTAATAATTTTAATATTTAAACTATACTTTTAATATATAATTTAACCTATAAAACATGAATCTCATATTATATTTTGTAAGTCCTTACTTTCAAACACTAAAGCCATTAAAATGTCAATAATACCTTTAGGAAAAATAATATAGCAATGGATATAAAAAAATGATTTTGCCTCATTTTTTATATAAATTTTATATTATTTAATAATTAA